CACAGGGACCCGGGAGGAAAGTGAGACCTGCTTATGGGGAGATTCTCAAGGCTGAAAGGAGAGGATGAATGAGGGCCACATGATCTTACCCCCCTGGGAGCTGGGTACAGACCCTACAACCTTGGTAACCTTTATTCAAGGAAGAAACACATCAGTCAAGAACAGTGAAGGAAATCAAAACTCTGGGTTTTTCTGATCTAATTCTCACCATTTTCTTTTCTGAGACAGGTGCCTGGAACTCAAGATAGGGAGTCCCCCACCCACTCTAAACTCAGCCCCACACATTCGGGTGGGCCTCCCTTACCCCATACTCGGTGGGGCAAGAGGCCTGGGCACGACAGTAGAGTTCTTGAAAGGAAAAAGGCAATGGTTACTAAAAGCCTTTTCTCCCTTCTACCACCCAGTGTGGGTGTTAGGAAGGATGGGGGCACGATACACTATGCCCTATGGGTGGGCAGCTAGGTGGCACAGTGGATAGAGTGCCGGGCTGTAAGTCAAGAAGATTCATCTCCCCAAGTTCAAACCTGGCTAAGACCCTTACTTAGCTGTGTGACCCTGGGGAAGCCACATGACCCTAATTGCTTCAGTTTCCTTATCTGTAAAATGAGCTTGAAATGGAAATGATTAAACCAGTCCAGTAGCTCTGCCAAGAAACAAAGAGTTGCCTGACAGAAAACAACTGAACAACAGAAACACAATAGAGGCCAGTGTGGAAATGTCTAGTTATGTTTATCATGGTGGGTCTTCTAGAAGTGTGTTGCCCCAGGGTGTGGAGGGAGTCCTTTCCCTTCCTCTCTGATGGACCTGACAAGGGCTTATGGGCCAGGTCCTGAGTTCACTTCAAGGGTCATCCTCTTGCTTAGCCAGCTGTGGTCTGTTCTCAATGACAGGACCAGGCGGTCAAAGCAAGCACACCTCCTTCCACTCTCATTTCCCTCACCTTTTGCCCATACGTCAAAGGATCAAACCAGGTCAGCCTCTCCTTCTTCTGAAATCTAAATTGAAGTTCCAAAGGGAGGCAACTAATGTCTGTCCTGAGTTCAAATTTGACCTCAGTCACTTACTGACTGACCCTGGGCAAGTCACTTTACCCTGTCTGCCTCATCTATAAAATGGAGCTAGAGAAGGAAACTGCAAATGACTCCAGCATCCTCGCCAAGAAAATCCTAAATGGGATCAGTTTCAATAGGACCGAACAAGGCTAAGCAGGTATTTTTTTTATCTTGTGTATATACAGAGTTATAGCTGCTCCCAAGGTTAAGTCGATTTCCAGTCACTAGAACCTAAGGATTCAGGCAGCTGCTTTCCATCTTCAGCACCCAGAAAAACACCAAAGCTTCAGGTTACCCCAACAAGTATTGGCCTCTGGAGAAGGTTCAGCCATCCCATTCATGTATCTGACCTGGTTAGTCTTCACAACAGGGACACATAATCTTTCTCACACAAAAGGGACTCTCCCTTCAACCTGGGGGAAATAAAAGTAGAGGTGTGTGGGAGGAGCAGCAGGGTTTGATTTCTTAGTTCCAAAAGGGCCCAATCTCTTCATTTTGTAGATGAGGTCAGAGATTAAGTGATTTAACTCAGGTCATACAGGCTGTACACGTTAGAGATGGAATTTGAACCTGAGATGGAACTCTGACTCCAGAGATATTGTTCCATTGTAGTGGATGTGGGTGCCTCCTCATGAGATATCTGGCTATCCAGGGACATCAGGAAATAAAAACTGAAAGGGGAGAGTAGCTTGTGAAACGTGTGTAGGAGTCGTCACATTTTCTACTACAGTTTGAATGGGGTTACCCCTCATGTAAATACCTCTGAGGAAACTCACAGGTGAGAAAAGTTGTGGCAGGGGAAAATACTTGAATGACCTGCGAGCTGAGAATAAGAAACCAGGAAGACCTCACCTACTTGGCTTAGCTTTTTCACACCGATCTTAACCTAGGTCCCTCTGCCATTTTCCAGCAAGTTTCCCCTTGCGCAGAATTTTGATTCTGGGGTTGATTTAATTTTAGAGGCAGCTTGGATGGTGAAAGTTGATAGTGTTAGCTAGACCTGAAGTTACGAAGACTTTGAGTTCAAATCCCAAGTCACTAGGCAACTGTGACCCTGGGCACGTCACTTGCCTGCCTCCGTTTCCTCATCTGTAAAATGGGGCTAATAACAGCACCTGCCTCCTTAGGGTTTTGTTTTGAAAATTAAATGTTTTGCAAAGCACTCTGCAAACTTTAAAACATTATACAAATGCTATTATGGTTCTGCCTACTTTAGCTCTCTGTGGACTTTTAAAATCTCCACTACTAAACTGAAGCTTCTTGAAATCCAGGGATTAAGTTTTGGTCATTTCAAATTCCTGTCAACATTTAGTATAGTGCTTCAGCAGAACTGGGTTTGAAAAGGTGAAAGGGGCACAAAATTATACCAGAGACTCCAAAAGAAGAGAGATGAACAGGAGTTAAGGAGTAGAAGACATACTAGTCTACACCAGTCCCTCCTCAGCTCTCAAGACCCTTAGTTTCTTTTATCTTAAAATTAAAAATATGTATATAGCAGCGAGGTGGCACCAGGGATAAAGTGTGGGGTCTGCAGTCAGAAAGACTCATGTTCCCAAGTTTAAATCCAGCCTCAAATACTTACTAGTTGTGTGACCCTGGGCAAGTCATTTAACCCTGTTTGCCTCAGTTTCCTCACTTGTAAGATAAGCTGGAGAAAGAAATGACAAAGCACTCCAGTATCTCTGCCAAGAAAATACCAAATAGATTGATGAAGTCAGACATCACTGAATATGACTAAACAAAATGTGTGTATGTATGTCCCTTCTGGGGCTCCTCACTACGAACTTTAACAACACAATTTAATTGGCTCAGTACTAAAATCCTGGTTCATTCAGGCCAGGCCTTCTTGCAGGTCCTCACTCATATTTCATCTGGTCCCCAACACCTGGAACATATTCCCTCCTCACCTCCATGAAGATGAATGGAGTTTTGCAAAGCTCAGCTCAGGAACCATCTCTTTCCTAAAGGCTTTTCTTGATCTTTCCCCTCCTACCTTCACCCTCAAATTATCTAGCATTTACTTTGCTTTTAGCCCAGGCACACAGGAGGTGCTTAATAAATGTTCATTGAATGAATGATTAAGCTGCTCCTCATCCACTTTACAAACTAAGCAGGACCACCCTCTCCTCTCTAGGAAACACAGGTTAGGATGGACTCAGCTCCCCTAAGGTCAACAGGGGTTTACTCAGAATTCACTGAGAGTGCAATTAAATTCTAAGATTCCTTTGCTAATAAACAGTAGCTCTACCTGTGCTCACTGATACATACAGCTCCCCTCACTCCCTTCTTAGGGACCCCAGTGTCTTAACCCAGGTCTCACCATGTTCCTGGGATGCCAGGTTAAGAAGAACTAAAAAATAAGCCTTGACTGTGCTGACAAGGATTCCCAGAAAAACCTGGCTAGCCCCTAGAAGAAAGGTGTTACTTCAGAGTTTGGCTGATACTGAAGCTAAGTGACAGGGAAGGTGGTGGGGTGGGGTCTTGGGCAGGTATAGGGAAGGAAACCTGTAACTAAGAAGCTAGGCTTTGTGTTAAGATCAGATGACTTTTTCAAGGCTATTTCCTCACCCCAGCATTCAATTTGACCAGGAGTTTGCTCCTGCCTCCCCCTTGAGCTGAAAGACTGTAATCTGAAGGTACAAAGAGCAAGATGGGACCAGCAGGGAAGGGAAGGATAAACAGCTCAGGCCTCAATCTCGATTCCATCACATCCCCTTTAGCTACTACCTAACAGGAAAAAAAAAGACTAATAGGTCACTTAAGAGGAAAGGGGATAACAAATCAATAACTGTGACCCCAAGCAAGAGGCTTCCTTCTCAGCTCTACAAATCCATGATTCAAAGCCCTTCACCTTTCCCACCTCAACTCCCCTTCCAGCCCCACCCTAGTGTCTGTGGACACAGGAGAATAGGGCAGATTTGTTTCCAAATAGGAAATACCAGACACGGGAGGTTAGAAAATTCATTTTTTAAAAAAATTTTAAATTAATTAAAAAAAACTCAACCTGGCATGAGCAAGATTCTGATTTGGGAACTAAACCAAAAGTCCTTGGTTACAAACTCGTCCAGTCCAGCTCAACCAAGAATGCCACCCCCCACCACTGGTGGCTCTGGTGGGAGAGGCTTAAGGTCCTCCCCACCCCCCATCCCTCCATACAACAGTGCAGGGCCCCAGCCCTGGAATGGGGAAAGAGATAAATCTTATCTGGAGGTGGGCCACCCCACCCCTCTCCACCCCACCAGGGTGGAGACCCTGGGAGAGCCAGCAAAAAGAGCAGTTCCTGCCTCCAGGGTCTAAGCAGCAGTGATTGGGGGTGGGGGAGAAGATACCATCCAGTTTGAGGTCGGAGGAACAGTGGGAGCTGTGATCAGCATTTCAGAGGCTGAGTCCAGATTGGGAGGTGGCACAAAGTCCTTATCGCCCTTCAAATCCATTTTCCTGTTGCCACTATTCCTGGGGGGTCCCAAGGAAAGAGCCTGGCTTCTTCTCTGGCCACTGCCACAATCCAGGTTCACAGTCTCAGCACTGCAGAGTATGGGGGTATGCCCCCTCATCCTATCTTCCACTGCCACAGGTGCTCTAGACATTGGCAACCCACCACCCCTCAGGTCACCAGAACTTGTTACCCAGAGATCTGTTATTAGCCAAGCACTCCACTCTGGCATAAGTAAGCAGGGGGAGAGGTGGCAGAAAGAAGTTTTCTTCATCTTCCCCCTTCTCTCTCCAAGGCTGGCCCCATTCTCCTATACATTAGATATATCTGTATATTTATATATATTATAGTTATATATTAAAAAGAGAAAAGACCAGTTATTGACTTTCCTGAAGAGAAATCCTCCCTGAAGGCCTCAGGTGGCTCAGGAAGTTTAAAAAAAAATTATAAAATTTTCCAGTGCAATCTTCAGGAAACACCCCACCCCATCCCACCCCACCCTTCCCTAACCTGTCCTTCTCTGCACCCACCCCTACCCCAAGCACTTCTAGCCCCTGCACCCCCAGCCCGGGCCCCAGCAGCACAAAGTCTTATCTCTGCCCATCCATTGCAGCCACAGCTTTCTGCTGGGAACCCCCCTGTTGTGCCCCAGGGGGCCACGTGGGCTGAGGATGGTGGAGGTGGTGTAGGCCGTGAGCTGTGGGGGAAGAAGGTGGGATCCAGGCTGCCTGGTGGCTGGGTGGAGAAGAGGCCCAAAAGGGGCTGAAGTTTGCAGGGGGGGAGCAAGCCATGGCTGTCATGGGACTGTTACTGCTCTGCAGGGTCTCCGAGGCCCGTAGCTTGGAGAACATGGCCAAGGCATCCGGGAAATTAGGTGGTGTAGCAGGTGTGTTGCTAGGTGTGCACATCTGTAAAGAGATGAAACACAGGGTAGCGTTCAAGCAAGCTCCGACCCAGAATCAGGACCCACATTAGCTCCCGGAACACCCCCACATGCTCTGCAAACCACCTCCTCCCTTCTTGCTAAAGATCTGTGGCACTGGGCTTTTAAGAGTCAGCTTTCCCAGATCATTTTCCCAACCTTGGATCACTCCCTTCCTCCAGGGTTCTTCCAACTTCTTCAGCCCTGGAGCAGCAGCAACCGGACATAAGCACCCACCCCATCCCCTCGGGCTTGAAACAATCCAAAGAAATGAGGACAGAATCAAAGCTGATTTCCCCAGAACTCCAGTAGAGCATGGGGACCCAATATTCACAATAGGAGACCCTATGGGTATTTATAAGGACCATTTCACAGGTGAGAAAATGGAGGCTCAAGGTGATTCAGGTACTGCCCAAGATCTCATCTGACTCAGTGGCACCACATCAATTCAATGTTCCTCAACCCATCTTCTCCTTTACAGAATTCCTCCCCTTGGCTGGGGAAGGATCTCAGAAGGAAGGGATTGATTCAGGCAAAATCCAGAACGAGCCACTGTCAGATGTACAAAAGGAAAACCACACGTGGAGACTCTCAGACCCAGTCTTGAGCATAGGCTCTGCTATCTGCTAGCTAGTGGAGTCTCTGGACAGGCCGCAGGCTCTACAATCGAAGGTATCTCAGTGTAGCATCTAACGTCAGATTTGTTCTGAAGGAATTAGGTGGTTTTCTCCTCTAGCTTGGCACTCAGGCAGAGAGGAGAAAAGAGGGGATGGTTAGGCTAGGGTCAAGCAATAAGAGTGCCAGCTTTTCCGTATCTATGGTGTTTTTAGTTACAAAGGGCTTTCACAAACATAATCTTACTAGATTCTCATAATGACCCTATGTGGTATAGAAATTATAATCCCTATTTTACAGAAAAGGGAAATTGAGGATCGGTGGGGTGTTAAGTGACTTTGCCCTGGGTCATATAACTACTTGGATGTAGAGTAGCTTGCCAGGAGGGGACTAAGTCAGAAGACTCATCTCTACTAACCTGGATTCAGTGGGGTGGGTTCAGTAGAGAGAATGCTGCATTCAGACTGCGAGCTCAAATTCAGCCACCTAACTAACTAGTGATCTTGGGCTAGTTCAGGGGTGGGGAACCTGCAGCCTCTAGGTCCTTATCCAAATTGGGCTAGTCATTTAACTCAGTAGGTTAGATTAGATGACCCCTTCCCCCAAAGGCCCCCGAGACCCAGGCAAAAAGGTCAAGCTCAGCCCACTATGGATGGCTCCCTGCCCAAAGGCTATTTCTACATTTGCAAGACACTATTCTCAATTTCTGGCCCCCTCCCAGGGCCAGAAAGAGGTTCCACAATGGGAATGAAGGAGCAAAAAAATAGAACCAGGCCAGGCTAATGAAATTTGGGAATCTTAGCAGCTTCTCCCTTTCCTCCTGAAGCCATATATCATTCTCTGAATGTCTCCTAATTTTAGCTGCAGCAGTGGTCCCTCCCTAGAACTCACCCCTGGAAGGTGGGGGAGGGGAAGAGGACAAAGTTCTAGGAATCTACGACTCCAGATTTAGCTTTTCTTCATTCCCTAGCTAACCTCAAGTGGGAATGAGGCCTAGCCTGAGGACAATCTTCCTCTTCCCTTTCCAAGGACAGTACAAAAAAAACTGAATTGGGAAGGAAAAGATCTGGGTTCAAATGCTGACTCTGCTACTTACTACCTGTGTGATGGATAGCAAGTCACTGAACCTCTCTGGCCCTGTTTCCTCAATTGTATAAATAAGGAGAGTTGGGACTCAAAGACCTCAGAGGTCCTTTCCATCTCTAAATCTACGATCTGAAGAACACTCTCACATCAGCATCCCCAGGATTACAGATTGCCCCCACTTGTATCCTCTACCCAGATGAACGCCCATTACTGGCCTCACCCCAACCCTACTCATCCATTTTCAAGGACCCATTTTATCCACAGCAAGAAGGGCCAGTGAATTCTTTCAAAAGGAATCAAACCAAACCCTCCAGTTCAAACAAGTAGTCCCAACCTAGCTCCTTCAGAAGGAATCTGGTTAAAAAAAAAACTATTTCTACAAACCAGCTATCTGCTGAAGCACAGTTGTTGCTGCATTCCATCATTCCATCAATGGGCAGCCTATTCAGCCACTAAAGGATGGTACCACAGTGCACAGAGCTTGGGGCCTGGAGTCTGGAAGACCTGAGTTCAAATGTGGCCTCCGACTCTTACTAGCTGTGTGACCCTGGGCAAGTCACTTGATCTTTGTTTGCTTCAGTTTCTTCAACTGTAAAATTGGGGATAAGTACCTACCTCCCAGGGTTGTTGTGAGGATCGAATGAGGTAATAATTCTAAAGTGCTTAGCACTGTGCCTGGCACATAGTAGGTGCTATATAAATGTGTATTCCCTTATTCCCCCACTTGGGGCTTCAGTTTCCTCATCTGCAATAAGAGAGAGTTGAACTAGGTGAGATGATCTCTTCCAGCTCTGACAGTCTGAGAAATAGGAGAAATAACAGAAGGGCTCTATATTTACAGTTTATATCAATCCACAATTATCTTAATTTGTCTACTCACTATTCCCTCTAACATATTAATAGGAGATGACATTTAATGCAGTCCTTTAAGGTTTTTACTTTACAGGAATTATTTTCACCTGATGCTCACAAAAGGAGGCCCTATGGGTATTATGTTGCCCATTTCACAGGTGAGAAAATTGAGGCTCCAGAGTTTCCGGGACTGCCCAGTCTCATTTTGACTCAAGTACTGCTGTACCACGACACCTCAATGTCCCTCAACCCATCATCTCCTTTGCTGAATTCCTCCTCTTTGCTCACATACCCTCTTCACTTTTCTTCTTTGACAATCCAACCCCAAGCTATCCTTCAATGGCTCAAATCATGAATCCTTTCCTGACTATTGCAACCCAGTGAATTTACTCTCCTCTGAAGTCTTGCAGTATTTGTCTAGACTAATGGTTCTCAAGACTCTTAATTACGGAGGACTCTCCCACCGAGTTTTTGTTTATGTGGACTATATCCATCAATATTTGCCTTATCAGAAAACAAAATGTATTAGTATTATGAAAAACGTTTTACCTTGAGTGTCTTGGGACCCCCAGGGGTCACTAGGCCCCACTTTAAGAACCTGTGGTTTATACTATTCACTCAATTATCAAGTGACTGATGTGTGTGTGTGTGTACACATACATATATATATATATATATAAATATGAAAATGAAAAAACACAGTCTTTACCCTCAAAAGGCCTGTAATCTAATATGGGTCCAGGGGATATAATGCACACAAATAAACATAATGCAATATAAACTGTGATAAGGCAAAGCACTGATTCTCCAGATAAAATACCAAAGAAAATTTCCTGAAGACAGACATTTTTCAGATAGAATGATCAAGGAAGACCGCCCAGAGGAAGCGGCATTTGAGAGGGGCCTTGATCAAAGATTCTCCACAGGCAGAGAGATGTGAAGGGGGTATGTTTTACACAAAGGAAGCAGAGGGTAGCAGGACTCAACTGGGAAACAGCTGGTAGTCCATTGTGCCTTAAATAGGTGAAAGGCGGTGAAGGGAAACAAGACTGGAAGGGTGGGTCACCGTAGGAAGGCTGAGGAGTTTTCATTTTATCCCAAGGGCCAGTAGCTTCCCAACTGGTCGGGAGGTACAAAGGACAATCCAAGTGGCAAGTGGGAAGATATCAAGAGCTGTACATATGTTCTTTTTTTTCCCATTTAAAAACAAAAGCTTTGTCATAATATTGACTACACAAATAGACTCTGGTGTCCTTATTCACTTACAGGCAGAGGGTAAAATATCCTGAGCAGAAAGCTGAAGTTCCCTAAAATGGAGGAACTGGCCATCATTCTACATGCTTGCTTAATTAGATTTTATAGATCGTCTCAACTAGCTTGAATTAAACTAACAAGCCCCAAATGGACAACTGGAATAGAAAGAGTCCTTTGCAGAAACCTCAGAATGAAGATAATATTAAGAGTTTGAGCACAAGAGAATGAGAAAATGACAGAAATGACCATTCTACTCCCACCAGGCACTCTTCCATCATCTATGCTACAAGGTAAAAACAGGGCGCTAATCAGACCTGACAAGTTGGCCAAAAAATGTCTACTTTCAAGATTGTTTGAAATATAGATTCATATCTACCATCATTAACAAAGAACCTCATCTTAAACACTGTTAGCCAGACACTTTAAAAAAAGTGTCATCTATTAAAAAAAAATCCTCTTATACACCTCACTCTGAAAACTTAGAAATTCTTCTAAAATGCTTTAAAAAAATTCTCCCAAACAAGAGTTTCGGTGGGTTTTGAGCCTATTTGTTAAAAATGTATTAAAAGGTTAAAACTTTGTGATTAGCATGTAAGAACAAATGATTGGCATCAGAGAAGATGGAAATTTACTAGTCAAATTTCTACAAAAATTCTTGTCATGACTGGTGGAAGGGACCGAAAAATGAGTATATCCATGATTCAGCAGGCTCAGCCAACAAAGTATTTCTTCCATTTGGACCTATTCATCTTTCTATCATTTCCAGACATAACTGTTAAAATCTTTTAACATCAGAAGAAAGTGAATTTCAATAGAGACCTTTAAACTGCTTATATCATAAGCTGTTAGACCCAAATTTTAAAAAAGAAGTATCTTCTATCACATTAACAATTTTTAGCATGAGCAAAAAGATTTTATGTACTGTTAATAAAATTAAGTTATTTTTATAAAGACCTGATTTCACATCTGGCCTCAGACATTAGCTGCGTGACCCTGGGCAAATCACTTCACCCTACTGGCCTCAGTTTCCTCACCAGTAAAATGAGCTGCAGAAGGAAATGGCAAACCACTCCAGTATCTTTTCCGAGAAAAACCCAGATAGGGTCACAAACCGCCTGAATAACAAAGTCATTTTTACCAATTCGGACGTGAAGCCCAAGGACAAAGGGTATTAAATAGCAGCACTAGGCTTTGAACACGGGTATTCTGCCTCCAAATCTAGCACTTTCCCCATTGTCAACACATTGCTCCTGTACTGTCTCAGATCTCTTGTACTCCTATACTTCAAATGGTTAGAGTTCTCTTGGACTCCCAACTTACTTCTCCCATTTGATTTTTATTTCCTTAACATTTTAAACTCTTTGAGGATGAGGAATGTGCTTCATCCTATTTCATATTAGCTTGTTCGATGTTCTTGGAAAAGTGCATGTCTGTCTGTGGATTCTGTATGGGCTGTCCCTTTGTTGGGACCACCCTGCCCCTTCATCTCTGCCAGATCCTCTGCCTCCTTTCAAGACTAAGTTCATGCCACCTTCTATGGGAAACCTGTTGACACCCCACTTCCCAGATATCATTGCTCTCCTTCCTTAAATTATATTGAATATACCTGTGTAAATATCTATCCTTCTCACCCCTCAGCAGAATGTAAGCTGATTGAAGGCAGGGGGTGTTAGAACAATGCCATGCATATAGAAGGCATTTAAATATGGATTAGATAGGGTAAGCCCCAGAAGAAGCAGCACAAGAACTGCCCAGGAGGAGAGGGCCCACTTCTCATTCTCGGTGCCTCATTTCATCTAAGCTTTGTATCTCTTGGTGCTAGTACAACTACGCTGAATGTTCACTAAACTGAAATCAGCTGACTGGTGTTCTGATGTATATATTTCAGTAATTTGTGTCTTAAGGGAAAACTTGGTAAATGTTATTTATGATGCCAAAGGGTACATACACTTAGCAACAGTCAAGCTCTTAGTCTGTCCTATCTCGCCTTGGGGGATAAGGAATCAGGCTGCTAGTAGCTTAACGCAAAAGAGTCTAGTTCACATAGACCTGTACTCCTCCCTTCCCTAATTAGGACACTCTCCTCCCTCCCTACATTGGGGCACAGTAGGAAAAAAAAGAAATGTAGCTGGGGCTGCTGTGGCAGTAGGCGGGTTCCACCTGGGAGAATAACAACAGCTAGCATTTATATACGGCTTTAAGATTTGCAAGGTGCTTTGCATGTTTATCTCATCTGCCGCTAGCAAAAATCCTGAAAGTATTATCAGTCCCTTTATTAAGGAAACTGAGGCTAAAAGGGGTTAATACAGGGTCTCACAGTCAGTCTATGTCAGAGGTGACATTTGAATTCGGGTCTTTCTCGCTCCGAGGCCAGCTCCACATCCATTGCTAACACCTAGCTGTCTTAGACACTGTTTAAGAGAGAAGGGCAAGATAAAAACAGGAACAGGTCAATTTACAGTTCCTTTCTTAAGACACACCTCCCTTATTTGATTCCAGCACATTAGCTGCACTAACACAGCCATGTAAGGAGTCTCAGAATGGACACACTGAATCAAAGAGGAAGGCGGTCTCCAACCCATTCTGGCCCAGTTCTTGGGGGTGGGGGAGGGGAAAGAATACAAAGCTATCTTTTCCTGAGGACTCCACCAAAGATTACAGCACTCAACAGTAAACACCAAAGTTGAGTTTCTGAGAAATGGGTCATCAGCAGGTCCCCAGGCTAGGGAGGGAACTGGTGAGGAAGGAGGCAGGAGATAACATCCATCTCCCAGATACCAGCATTCAAACACAAGCCACATTTTAAAGCAGGGGTTGGTTTTGTTTTTAACTTTTTTATTTTTGTCATGGACCCCTTTGACAAGTCTGGTGAAGCCTAAGGATCTCTTTTCTCAAAATGTTTTTATATGGAGAAACCAATTACACTGAAATAGTTATCAAAATATTTCTAAAACATGCTCATGGATTCCAGCTTAAGAATCTATGTCTTTTACAGGAAACTTTCAGAAGGATTTTTGAGTTCACAGGAGACAAAATTAAGAGCTTGGAAAGGCTGGAACGTTATCCACTTCTCCTTAGCACCCTAATCTCCCACCTTGTGGGGCCTATCTGAAGATTTCTTCTTTGGAGGAAAGCAGACAGGCAGACTGCTCCTGCTAATTTAGACACTTAACACCTGGGGCAGGTATTGCTGTCAGCAGCTTGTCCATTTTACTCCAAATTATAATTATAATTATTATTATTATTTTTAAGTATTGACAGTTCTAAGAGAGGACTTCCATTTTGTAAAATACAACTTAAAAGAAATTCCCCCGTTTCTCCTTTACTACTAGATGAAATGGGAGAGCAAAGTAGATAAGGGAGATTGCATACAAAGTATTTCTTCCAGCGAACATCTGTAGATAATGTAAGGGGAAGGGAAAGCCAAGGACACAAACACTTGTCAAAAACTTACTCCAGG